GAAATACATCTTGATGTCCTCTGGATCGATCTTCATATCTTCCCTGACGAGAACAAAAGCAAAAAAAAAAGGAAATTAAATTAGGATTTTAAGTGATAGATCTGAATGTATCAGCAAATAAAATTGGATGTATATATATCTGAATTTGAAATATTGAAGGGGAGAATTTCAAATCTTCCTCCAGCGCTAGTCGATAGAACCAATCTTCGATCTTCCCTGACAAAAGAACAACAACAACAAAATCAATAAAACATACCCCAAAAAAAAATTAATTAGGATTTGAAGCGGTAGATCTGAAAGTGTTACTACATAAAATTAGATATATAGATCTGAATTTGAAATATTGATGGTACAAATTTACCTTTCTTGATTTCATGAGATGAGAATAGGAGAAAACCACTGGAGGATTTCTTGGGAATTAAAAAAGGAATTCTTCCTTTCATTAGAGGCATGGCTTGAGATGAAGTTTTCTGAAGAGGAGGAGGAGATCTGAAATTCACGTGTGGATGGGGGGAGGGAGACTTAGACCACCAGTTTGCTAGGTCTGGTTTTAAAGCGGCGAAAATGATAATGTATGAGTTCTGAAACGAAATCTAAAATTAAAGTACTGTTCTGAGTTCTGACTCATATGTATGCTACTTATAGGGTGGAATATAAATTTTACCCTTAGATCCCTGTTACTGGTTTTTTACTCTAAAGAGATAACTTTGACCTCTTCTTCTTTTGTTCCGGCGGCAGCTTATAATTTAGTTTACTCTCTTTTTTTACAAGCTTATAATTTACTTCCTTTTTTTTCGGGGGGTGGGGGCGCGGGGGTCAATAAGCTTATAATTTACTTTAGTTATACATATCCACCCAATTATTTTTCAACTTTCATAAAAATTTAAAATATATTGTCATGTATACAAATATTTGTCCAGCTGGTATTATTACTTGTATTTGTTCAACGTTTCCATTTATTAGGAAACAATAATGCTAAATATGTCATTAAAATAATTAAAATAGTTATTGAGGTAATCAGAATCCATGAATTTAGGGATTCATTGACATTCAAATCTCATAATAATAGGAATGATAATCACATATTTCAACGTTTCCATTTATTAGGAAACAATAATGCTAAATATGTCATTAAAATAATTACAATAGTTATTGAGGTAATTAGAATCCATGAATTTAGGGATTTATTGACATTCAAATCTCATAATAATAGGAATCATAATCACATATCTCCTATGAATTCAAATTTTCTCTAATTATCCTAAGTTTAGGGATTTTATTGATTCTAGCCT